CATCGCCGCCAACCCGCCCATCCCCACCATCTCATGTTAGCTCCACCGCCGCCAACCCGCCCATCCCCACCATCTCATGTTAGCTCCGCCGCCGCCAACCCGCCCATCCCCACCATCTCATGTTAGCTCCACCGCCGCCAACCCGCCCACCCCCACCATCTCATGTCGACTCCGCCGCCGCCGCCAGCCCGCCCATCCCCACCATCTCATGTTAGCCCCGCCGCCGCCAACCCGCCCATCCCCACCATCTCATGTTAGCTCCACCGCCGCCAACCCGCCCATCCCCACCATCTCATGTTAGCTCCACCGCTGCCAACCCGCCCATCCCCACCATCTCATGTTAGCTCCGCCGCCGCCAACCCGCCCGTCCCCACCATCTCATGTTAGCTCCACCGCCGCCAACCCGCCCACCCCCACCATCTCATGTCGACTCCGCCACCGCCAGCCCGCCCATCCCCACCATCTCATGTTAGCTCCGCCGCCGCCAACCCGCCCATCCCCACCATCTCATGTTAGCTCCACCGCCGCCAACCCGCCCATCCCCGCCATCTCATGTTAGCTCCACCGCCGCCAACCCGCCCACCCCCACCATCTCATGTCAACTCCGCCGCCGCCAACCCGCCCATCCCCGCCATCTCATGTTAGCTCCACCGCCGCCAACCCGCCCACCCCCACCATCTCATGCCAGTGCCTCCGCCTTATCGTATCCCGCACGCCCCTTAGGACACCAGCTCCCCTCCACGTGTGGCTACATGGCCGCCACATCAGGATATAACGCGCCATCATATCAGGAGGGTCACCAGCCGCTACATTAGGAGATCTCCGCCAAATCAGCTCTCCCTTGGGGCGCGTGAGGATGTCATCTCGCTGCCAAATCGAGTCATCCGCCCCAACATCAGGTTATCAGCCCGTCACCACGTGTGGGTATCACCCTATCACCACGTCAGGATATCACCCTACCATCATTAGGATGTCACCCCACCATCATCAGGTCATCCGCCGTCACATCGGCGGATGAGCTTTATTGAAAGGTCACCTGCTTTGACATCAGGCCACGCTACCGCACCACCAGGATGTCACCCTCTCGTGCATCAGGTCAGTTCGCCACCACACCAGGAGGTCACTGGTCAACGGTCACCATCAGGTCATCCGCCACCACAGGGCGGCATCCCTTTACCACATCAGGGTGGCACTCCAGCAGTGCGCCGGGCGGCCGTACTGCCGGCTCGTGTCGGCACACCGAGAGGTCATCCCGCCGGCATGCCGGGAGGTCATTCCACGGGCATATCGAGAGGTCACCCCACCGGCATACTGGGAGGCTATCCCACAGGCATACCGAGACGTGATCCTGTCGGCATACGGGAAAGTCATCCCACCAGCATACCGAGAGGTCATCCCGACGACATATCAAAAGGTCATCCCGCCGGCATACCGAGAGGTCATCCCGCCAACACACGGGGAAGTCATCCCACCGGGATATCGAGAGGTCATCCCGCCGGCATACCAGCAGGAGTTCCCGTTGGCATACCGTGAGGTCCCCCTGCGGCATGCCTAGAGGTTAACCCGACACGGCAATAGGTCACCGTGCCTCGAGACGGAGAGGTCACCCCCTCCCCACATCAGGAAGCCATCCTGCTGCAACACCAGGCCGTCTTGCCGTTACATCAGTAGTTCAAGTTGGTCACGCCGTGGCGGGAGGTCACCCCGCCGCCACATCCGGAGGTGACCCCCGTCCGGATGGCCCCGGTGACCCCCGTCGGCCGGGCGTCTGGCCGCCGTTGTTGACGGCGAGCCGCGGCCTGTGGCCGGCTCATTTGCCGGCCGGCGGTATTGGTCTTGATCTCCAGCCGGGTAATGCCGACCTGAGCTGCCTATTAGGCGCCGACCGGCCGGCAATCCGGCCTCTGATCACCCCCCAGGCCGACCCAGCGACACCGGCCAGACCCACACTTACCCGGCCGCCGTCCGCTGCCGTGTTGTGGGGCGCGGAGGCCGTGCTCTGGCTCTAGGCGCTCTTCTAACGGCATGAAGGCCTTAGCAGTGTGCGAAATATGACCAAACTGGCTACACTGGTTGTTATGCTACTGCTTGTTTTATTGGCCGTAGCTGGTAGTAGCGAAATATTGGTGTGGAAAATACTAATCCACGCTACTCCGGTCAGATTTAATTGATGGTGTCGGGGCCAGCGAAGTGATGACAGGCGCGTGGGACCAATTACCACCACGTAGCTGGGTCATATCCGAAGCCGGGGGACCGGCCACCCGCGGAACTCTCACAAATTGGTGTGATCAGTGCATTGGAAAGTCGATCCTTCATCAGAGTAGCGGGTCGTCTGGAGCGTGTGTGGGACGGCCTCCGGCCTCCGCCGGTGGGCCTAGCTTTTCCCACCCGTGCCGCGGCTTTGCGTCTGTTCGGTTTGTTTGGTTCTGCCGGGTCGTCTCCCTGTCGGCGCCTGTTGATAGATCTACGTGTGCTGCGGTCGGGTGTGCCGCCATTCGGCCTGTGATCGCTGCGCCACGCCGTATTGCTGTCCTGAGCCGCTGTCCTGCGCTGCTGTCCTGTGCCGCTGTCCCCTGCTGCTGACTTGTGCTGCTGTCTTGTGCCGCTGTCCTGCGCTGCTGTCCTGAGCCGCTGTCCTGTGCCGCTGTCCTGTGCTGCTGTCCCATGCTGCTGTCCTGTGCTGCTGTCCTGTGCTGCTATCCTGAGCCGCTGTCATGTGCTGCTGTCCTGTGCTGCCGTCCCGTGCTGCTGTCCCATGCTGCCGTCCTGTGCCGCTGTCCTGTGCTGCTGTCCCATGCTGCTGTCCCCTGCTGCTGTCCTGTGCTGCTGTCCTGTGCTGCTATCTTGAGCCGCTGTCCTGTGGTGCTGTCCTATGCCGCTGTCCCGTGCTGCTGTCCCTTGCCGCTGTCTTGCGTCGCTGGTCTGTGCCGCTGTCCTGTGCCGCTGTCCAGTCCCGCTGCCCTGTGTCGCTGCCCTGTGTCGCTGTCATGCGCCGCTGTCCTGTGCCGCTATCCTGTGCCGCTGTCATGTGCCGCTGTCCTGTGCCGTTGTCATGTGCCGCTGTCCTGTGCCGCTGTCCTGTGCCGCTGTTCTGTGCCGCTGTCCCGTGTCGCTGCCCCGTGTCGCTGTCTTGTGCCGCTGTCCTGTGTCGTCCTGTGCCGCTGTCCTGTGTCGCTGTCCTGTGGGACTGCACCGCTCCCGACCGAGCCGCGGCGCGGGCTGGACGGCCGGCGGCTCCAGTAATAGTGCGGACAAGGCAGTCCACTGGCGCTAGGCCCTGGGGACAGAGGTCAGGTACGGGTACGGCCGGCGGGCCATGGTGCCCGGCCAGCGTGCCGCCGCCGCTGGGGACAGCACGCACCGGCCGCCGCCCGCTGGACACCCAATAAACCGTCCACAGCCGCCGAGGCCGAGATCAGATAACCGTGTTGGTGACGTGGCCAGCCACCTCCTCTCGTCGAAGCTCGGCGCGCCCGACTGGGCCTGCTGTGTCTGCAGCCAAGCGGGCCGCCCGCGCGGTCTCCGGCTCCCCGCCGCCAAGTTTATGACTCCTCGAAAGGCCATACCCGAAAGATCACACCCTAAAGATCACACCTTAAGACCCCAAGCCCGAAGGTCGCCATCGTTAAACGCAGCCGGTCTCCAAACTGGTCCGATTTATGACACGTCATGCCCCGCTATTTATGCGTCAAATAATGATGCCTTGGCGCTGTCCCGCGTGTGCACGTGCCGTTCCTCGACCGTGTCATTTACCATCGAGCGTCTGGTGCCTGGAGAATGTCCAGTGATTGTCGTGAGCTGGAAGGGTAGCCGCGTGGTGGGACCGGGGACGTGGAGGGGCTCGACGAGAGGTACGGTGTACTCCGGTATACATTCCCTCGCGGCGAAAATATCTTGGCTCTTGCTGTCCTGCTTCCGGTTGGTGCGGGAGTTGATAAAGTAACGTGGAGTTTTCTGGTTTGTTTTTATCATACACTTTTTTACGTTTTAAGAACGTGCTTGTGTCTACGTTTGCCTTAGCTGTATCGCGCCAGACACGTGGAAAGTATGGCAGGGGTCTGAGAGAAGCGTCAGAGTCTGAGAGGGGTATCAGGAGTGTGATAGAGGCGTCAGGAGTCTGAGAAAGGCGTCAGGAGTCTGAGAGGAGTGTCAGGAGTCTGAGAGAGATGTCAGGAGTCTGAGAAGCGTCAGGAGAGTAAGAGGAGCGCCAGGAGTCAGAGAGGGGTGTCAGAAATATTGAAGGAACGTCATAATTGTGGTACGGGCACCATGAATGTGAAACCGGCGTCAGGAGTGTGAGAGGGCATCAGAAGTGGCCAAGGGTGAAGGATGTTGCATCGCCAGGAGTGAGAGAGGATGCCAGTGATATAAAAAGGGCGTCAGTAGTTTGCGAGTCCAAGAGAATGGGAAGGTCGCCACGAATGCGGTGGGAGCATCACGGGTGTGAGAGAGACGTCAGGAGAATGGGCGGGGCGTCAGGAACAGGGTATACGTATCAAGAGTATAGGAGGGACGACAGCAATGTGGGAGGGTTGTCAGTACTGCGGGAGGGCCGGTAGGAGCACGGGAGGGCGGTCGGCTCTGCGCAGTGTTCGGGCGCGTGGCGTCTGTGCCGTCCGACCCCGGTGCTCCCGAGCCCATCGGGGAGTCGTGTGGGGGCCTCCCGCGAGCCGTAACGGTACGCTTGCCTAATAACGTGCGCCCGCTCCGTGTGGCGGTCATGCCAGTGCGCCGCCAAACTGGCGCGGCTCGGCCGCTCGATGTGAGCCGGCCGGCGACGCCTCGTGCCGCGCTCCCCCGCCTCCTGCTCGTGCTCACGGCAGCACGCTGCTCCGTTTACTGTACCTCGAGCGCTCTGTGCGCAGAGGTCGGTGATGTCTGATGCTGCTCACGGCTGTGCGTGAATGGCGTCAGGGTCCTCGGCCGGATCTGATCCGGTTCCGAGTGGGCGGCTCTGGGCCGCTGTCAGGCTGACGTCCACTCTCTCCGCGTGCCGACAGGGCGGCGTTCCCCAACCGGCTGTGGGAGCGCGTGAAGCTGTCGAAAAACTTCGAGAAGGCGCTCCAGCAGATCAACGAGAACCTCATTTACTGGCCCGGCTTCATACAAACCAAATGCAAACAGCGGCTGGTGAAAATCCACCAGTACCTGGCGCGCATGCGCCGGCTCCGGCTACAGCGGCAGTGAGTACCCGTGTGTAGTGTGTGCGTTCTTGGCGGGCGCGCGCCTCACAGGCGTCGGCCGTCGCCGCATCGTCCCTGCGGTTGCACCGTCTCACATGCGTGGACTTTGGGCCGGACAGGTGTGTCGGTTGGCTCCTACGCAAACTGACGCCGTCTGCGGGACCCGGGACGTCACCCGGCGTCCCAGGCCTGGGACGTCACCCGGCGCCCCTGGCCTGGGACGTCACCCGGCGTCCCTGGCTTTGGACCTCACCCGGCGCCCCGGGCGTGGGACGTCACCCGGCGCCTCTGGCGTGGGACCTCACCGGGCGCCTTCGGCGTGGGACCTCACCGAGCGCCCCTGGCCTAGGACCTCACCCGGCGCCCCGGGTGTGGGACCCCACCCGGCGCCCCGGGCGTGGGACCTCACCCGGCGCCCCGGGCGTGGGATCTCACCGGGCGCCCCTGGCCTGGGACCTCACCCGGTGCACTGGAAAGCGAGTCAATAGCAACAGTGGTGCCTAATTGCCGCCGGCCGTCATGACAATCGGCCGACACGCGGCGCATTGTCGACCAGGTGAGCGTTCAGTCCGAACTTTCCATGTGCACTCGATGAAAGAATGCCACTGAAGACTCGTGCTCAGGCGCCATGGTTCCGGCGGTTCGTCGGGTGGGTCAGGCTCACTCGCGCTGAACAATGCACGCGCGAATGAGCACACGTTGTCGCGCGGACGCTGGCCGGCGGTCTGGGGCAGTGCGGCCCGAGGCAGGTCGGCCGGACGCGTCCTCGGGCGACCAGGCCGGACCGTTGGGGTCGGGCGACCAGCGGGCTAACCCGGTGTCGGGGTCTGCTGCCGACCAGCGGGCTAACCCGGTGTCGGGGTCTGCTGCCGACCAGCGGGCTAACCCGGGGTCGGGGTCTGCTGCCGACCAGCGGGCTAACCCGGGGTCGGGGTCTGCCGCCGACCAGCGGGCTAACCCCGTGTCGGGGTCTGCTGCCGACCAGCGGGCTGACCCGGGGTCGGGGTCTGCTGCCGACCAGCAGACTGACCCGGTGTCGGGGTCCGCCGCCGACCAACAGACTGACCCGGGGTCGGGGTCCGCCGCCTGTTAGCAGACTGACCCGGGGTCGGGGTCTGCCGCCTGCCACCCGTGGCGTCGCCCGAGGCGCCGGCGGCAGCACTCTGAGTCCCCAGAGGGCATCAGATCGGATCAGATCGCATCAGATCGGCAGAGGGCATCAGAGCGCTACGAGCACCGCGGGACAACCCCGCCTCGCGGCCCATCTTGTGCCACTGGTTTCGGCTCTGTTCAGGCGCTCGTTAATGCCATGGATGTTGAGCCGGCGCTGCTGACCTCAGCTGCCGATGGCGCGTCTCAAACTCAGCCGGCTCTCAGGCCGAGCCGGGGGCGGTGAGCATCGCTGAGCCGCGGCGTGCGCAGTCCCAGCTAGCGGGCAGGCCCGGCGCCGGCCGACCCTGGCGCGGTGAGCCGCGTTAAAACTCAGCTGCCATGTGTCTGAGGGCGAGCCCCGCGCGGCCGGAGCGGCGTGACGTCTGGAGCGGAGCCCCGCGCGGCCGCCGCGGGGTGGCGTCTGAGGCCGAGTCTCGCGCGGCCGCCGCGGGGTGGCGTCTGAGGGCGAGCACCGCGCGGCCGCAGCGGACTGACGTCTGGGACCGAGCCCCGCGCAGCCGCAGCGGGCGCTTAGGGTGGAAGGACTGAATACACCGGCTTTCTCCTTGCAGTCTGTCCAGTCCTTCTCGTGGGACAGACGAACTGCAGCAAAACTCTGTTAAACACCTGTTTCACTGACTAAATGGGAATAATGGGTGTTTCTTATGTTCCTTCATAGAATGACTGCGCTGACTGTCAATGAGATCCTTTTCAGCCGGTCGTCGTTGGCGGAAGGAGATGGAATCACAAGTTGGTGTAAGGAATGAGTTTAGTTGAGGTGCATTGGTGTAGCTCGTCATATGATATGATATAACTCGCCGTCTGCTTCATTGTATAACAGTTCGAGGACGAAAAGTTATACCTCAATTTATGTCGGCCGGAGGCATCTTGACACGACTTACGTGGGTAGATTTAATTTTACGTAGCTGCGCACTTAGATAGATAGATAGATAGATAGATAGATAGATAGATAGATAGATAGATAGATAGATAGATAGATACATTCGCTCAAGCGCGTTGTGGAAAGGCGTCCTGAGGAATAGCTCCTGAGCGACACAAGAGCGGACCCATTGGCGTGGGTGTGGAGCCAGACGCGCTGACGGGCGCCGTCGTGACGCCGGCTCCTGGGCCAGCCCCTCAGCCCGCTCCAGCGGCGGCGGATCAGCGCGGTCCAGGCCCGGCCGGCGGGACGGCGCCGAGCCGCCGCCGGCCGCTCCGCCGCTGGATCGCCGACGCCTGCCAGCCGCTCCGCCGCTGGATCGCCGACGCCTGCCGGCCGCTCCACCGCTGGATCGCCGACGACTGCCGGTCGCTCCGCCGCTCCGCCGCTGGATCGCCGACGACTGCCGGCCGCTTCGTCGCTGGATCGCCGACGACTGCCGGCCGCTCCGCCGCTGGATTGCCCACGACTGCCGGCCGCTTCACCGCTGGATCGCCGACGACTGCCGGCCGTTCCGCCGCTGGATCGCCGACGACTGCCGGCCCCGGCCGCCTCTGATATGCAGATGAGACGGCCGCCGGCGACGGCCTGTCAGCGCTGCCACGGCCCACGCCGGCGACGGCCTACGGTCGGGTCCAGCGGCGGAGGGGCGCCGCCGGAACGGGCCGCCTGCCGGGACACGGAGGCGCGCGCCTATGGCGGTGCGGCGGTGGTCCGCGGGTGGCGCTCAAATGACGCGTCATTGTCCAGCAGCGAGCGGGCCGCGTCGTTCCGCCGACTGGGACACGTTCGTCCTCACCGCGGGGACAGAACGGAGCGTCGCTATCGCCACACAGCACACGGAGCGGAGGGCGTCAGTGGCCCCTGCCAGGCGAGCTATAGCAGTGTTAAAGCGAAGTAAAGCGAGTGGAGATAGGCTAGTCATTGAAACCGCGGTATGCATTAGACCGATTGAGCCGATGATTGGCCCTGACCCCCTGAGTTCGCCTGGGCTGTGTGGTTGCCACCTCAGCGAGGGCGGGACCGGAGCGTGGGCGCGGCGCCGTGGCGTGACACCTCAATCCCACTCAGTATAAACACAACAAACGTCACATCCGTCTGCTTTCGTCGCTAGCCCTCCCCGTTCGGCGTAAAGACGTAAAGCGCCAACCGCTCAGAGTTGACGCTTTACTCGGGTCGGGTCGCTGGGTGCTGTGCTCCATCCGTGTCACTCGGAGTCATGCTCGGTCCGGGTCGCTCGGAGTCATGCTCGGTCCGGGTCGCTGGGTGTCGTGTTCAGTCCGGGTCGCTCGGAGTCATGCTCGGTCCGGGTCGCTGGGTGTTGTGCTCGGTCCGGGTCACTCGGAGTCACGCTCAGTCCGGGTCGCCGCGCCGTTCCGCACGGGCCGCGCGCCGCTGGCGTTCGCCCGTCCGTCTCCGGGGATCGGAACGGGCCGGCCGACTTCGGTGTCGGCGGCGGCAGCGGCGCGCATCGGACCGAGTGGGCCCGTTTTTCGGCCGACGCCATGCGGACCGTTCCGCGCGGATGACAGCAAGAGCAACGGCAGCGGCTTCGGCGGCGGCTTCGGCGGCGGCGGCAGCGACGGCGGCGGGCGGGCGCACGCCCCCGAAGGGCCAGCTGACCGATTAGAGGGAAGGGAGGGATGATCACAGAGGAGTTAACGCGATCATACGCCCGTCAGGCTGTGCGTGGAGTCCTCGCTCTGTGCTAGTGAGTCGCGTGGCTCGTTTCGTCATGCGTCGTTCGGCGTCGCACGGGGGCCGTCCGGTGTGCTGAGCAGCACATCGCGGTGCGTCGTGGGCTAACAAGCGACTGGTGTCGTTCCGTCGGCTGGCTTCGTTACTATCCGTAACGCGGTTACTGGCGTGAGAGATTGTTGGGCTATCAACTTAGCTGCCCCGGAATAGCTGCGTTGCGGGTCTCAGAATAGCGCAGAGTTCGTCATTAGTGAGATGGCGTTGCGCTACTGCCGGGCCTGGCCGAGCCGAACCGATGGCAGCCGGGCCTGGGGACTCGCCGTGGGCTGAGTCGGCAGACCTCCCACGGCTCCGCCCCGCGCGGCCAGGGGAAGTTTTGCTGCCGCCTGCAGAGTGACCAGCGAGCGCGGCCCAGGCTCCCGCGCGCGCGGCGCAGTGACGACTCGCAGCCGTGCTGTGGCTGACTCGCAGCCGTGTTGTGTCTGACTCGCAGCCACCGTGTGGCTGACTCGCAGCCGTGGTGTGGCTGACTCGCAGATTTAGTGTGGCGCTGACACGCCCGGGGATGGCGCTTCGTCGGCTCGCGCGTTGACCTGGCCTCAGGCTGCCGCTGCACTCGGCCGACGCGCGGCTGGGGGACGGGGTCACTAGGTCCGGAGAGGGGGGTTGATTCGGAACACGTTGGCCCGCCGGCCGGCGTCGCAGCGGCGGACGGGCGGCGATCGGTCTGCTGATGACGTGCACGGCCGGCCAGCGGCGGGGATGACGGATTGCGCTGCCGTCATCGATCGGCGCGCCAGGTGGGCGCCACCTCACAGCCGGCGCTCCGGCACAACCGGCACCACTCGGAGGACGCTGTCGCTGGCGGTGGTGCAGGCGCTGCGGCGCTCTGGCCCCCCGTACTCTGGGACTGGGCGATCTACGTGCTCAGAGCTCAGGGCTCAGATCTAGAAGCTCAGATGTGCCTTTTGGATAGTCGCGGGCGACGATTTGATGGGGCTCTCGCTGTTGCTCTGGAAATAACTTCTGCCCGCGGCGGGATATTTTGAATCGAAGCTCTGGAGGGCTGTGCCAAGGCTGGGACACCGCGACCCTCGCTCTGAGCTTGTTATGAAGGCGTGTAACAGCGATAATCACAATCATCTCTTGCGACGGCTGACGTTGTTGGGGGCCGTGGCCTTGCCACGCGCGTTAGGTGCACCGCAGCCTT